GAATCATGTTAAATTATTAAAGTATAGGCTTTAAATTTCGGATTTAAATTATTTAGCTGCAATTTGAAAAGAAAAAAAAATTGTAGACCTATAAATTCTTACTGTCTGTCTGTACTTCCTGATTAACTTACGATATAGACAGGAAATCACGTGATTTCAACTCAAACATTCTCCTCAGAAAGGAGTTACAGTATATAGATGACCGGCACGACTGTGTTGTTATCAGGAAAAGTATGATGTACAGGGGCAAGACACTAGTGATTTCAGAGCATATATTTTAAATTAAATAAATTAAAAATTGCATTCCAGAATTGTGACGATGTCATAGTAATTTTTTTTACTTTTAAAAAATTGAGAAATAAATAAAATTTTATTGAAAATTATACGGAATTACGTTTGAATTCTAGGTGATGGAGTCGAGTTAACTTTCTTCTTTAAGCATCGAGAGTCAAATGGTACATGAAGTCGATGAGATCAAACTTTTAGGAAATAGTCAAAAAGTTTTAAGAAAATTCTTTTCAATTGTATTCTATTTCTCTTTCACTTAAAGTTAGTGTTCTCAAAACACGTGATTTTTTTTTCTATAAATTGTCCAAAGAAACTCGTAAAAAGGAACTACAACGTTGAAGAACCATAAAATTTAAACTGTCAATAAACACTATAATGGACTACTATTGTGCAGAATTGGAGAAAGAACTAAGTAAAAGAAGAAGAAGAAAAAAATAAAATAAAAATAAAGCAAAAGCTCTGTTTTACAATCTCTACCCCGTATTGAAAAGCTAGGGATTAAACAAGTATCCCCGGTAAAATATTGTGCACACTATTCAGTTTTAGAACTGGTATAAAAGTACAGATGTGAAGCGAAAAAAAAAACTAGAAGAAATTGAAATTGTTACTATTAATAGCTTTCTTTAAATGCGATAATGCTTTAAGAAATTGATAAAAATCTTTAAATGTATAGTTAAGTTTTAATAATAAATAAAGTTAATTTTATTAACGTATTTTATAATTAAAAATATTTCAGAAATAAATTTATTGATATAATTAATAATAAATGATTTAAGTCTGCATAAATTTTTAAAAATATCATTTTGTTTCCTAGATTATATCAAAGCTACTTTATTAAATATTAAAACATGTAGAGTCATCTTTTAAGTTTATTTATTTTCTTTTAGTAGATCCTATTGGATCCACTAAAAGAAAATAGAAGATATCTACAAGAAAAAAACGAATAACAGAAAGCCACAGATACTACTAACATTTGCAAAAGTAAAAAAGAAATTCAAAGAATGGATATTTCTGTACATTCAGATGACAAGCGGATAGATAACATTCCATTGTATCAGCACATATCATGTCAAAAAAATCCGAAACGTCACACTCATATTTTAAACAACATCCTTGTTACATAGACCATAGAACAATACTGTCAACAATGTGACACATAATAGATGTTTTGTTTTGTTTTATTTTTATGCAGTGGCACCGGAATTTCTGAATGAGTTGACAAGTAAAAATATGACTGTAATGGAGAATACAAACGTGACTTTGACATGCCGAGCTACTGGGAATCCTCAACCAGAAATTAAATGGAAAAGAGAAGATGGTCAAGGAATCATATTGGGGCAAGAAAAGAGTAAGTATATATATACAGTAATTTATTATAAACACGATAAATATTAGTGATAAACAGTTAAAATATTCTATTTTAATCTTTATTATAAATAGGAAACTTATGTTGAAAACAGTATACCTTATGAAGGAAAGTGTATAGTGTTAGTAGATAGTTTGTAGTGACGAAGGGCCTTTGTTTCACATGAGAAGTCATAAAAAATGATATATGTGGTCGTAACCATGGCATATGACTTATAATGAATAACTACAAAAATCATAGATTTTTTTTTACTATCTTCAGAAATTGTAAACAATAAACAATATCTGCAAAGACATATTTCTCAAAACTTAGTAGACTTTTATACCATATAAAAAATATATATACTGTAAATACAATAAATATACTTTTTAAGTTAACAATTTATCATTATATTGTCGATATTTTATAAGTAACATTCTTAAAGATTTATTCAATAAATGAAACTAAGAATCGTGTTTTAATACTACGTTATATTCTTGTTAAGATGTTTATTGAATAATTAATTATCAAGAATGTACTATTATATTTATTAACTAAATAGTTTCACGAAATACGATTCTCAATTAATTCATTTAACTCTTAATGTATTACGTTCAAATAATGATAAACAGCGTTGTACTGTACTTCGTTACTCTAGCATCATAGTATACAGTATACCAAATACTAGATACATACAAATATTTGCTATTCGATACTTTTAATTATGTAGTTAATTATTAATAAATTTTTGGATTATATTACAATTTATAAATTTATTAATAGAAGCTTTATATTGTTTGATGGACGAATCATGTTAAATTATTAAAGTATAGGCTTTAAATTTCGGATTTAAATTATTTAGCTGCAATTTGAAAAGAAAAAAAAATTGTAGACCTATAAATTCCCACTGTCTGTCTGTACTTCCTGATTAACTTACGATCTAGACAGGAAATCACGCGATTTCGACTCAAACATTCTCCTCAGAAAGGAGTTACAGTATATAGATGACCGGCACGACTGTGTTGTTATCAGGAAAAGTATGATGTACAGGGGCAAGACACTAGTGATTTCAGAGCATATATTTTAAATTAAATAAATTAAAAATTGCATTCCAGAATTGTGACGATGTCATAGTAATTTTTTTTACTTTTAAAAAATTGAGAAATAAATAAAATTTTATTGAAAATTATACGGAATTACGTTTGAATTCTAGGTGATGGAGTCGAGTTAACTTTCTTCTTTAAGCATCGAGAGTCAAATGGTACATGAAGTCGATGAGATCAAACTTTTAGGAAATAGTCAAAAAGTTTTAAGAAAATTCTTTTCAATTGTATTCTATTTCTCTTTCACTTAAAGTTAGTGTTCTCAAAACACGTGATTTCTTTTTCTATAAATTGTCCAAAGAAACTCGTAAAAAGGAACTACAACGTTGAAGAACCATAAAATTTAAACTGTCAATAAACACTATAATGGACTACTATTGTGCAGAATTGGAGAAAGAACTAAGTAAAAGAAAAAGAAGAAAAAAATAAAAAAAAATAAAGCAAAAGCTCTGTTTTACAATCTCTACCCCGTATTGAAAAGCTAAGGATTAAACAAGTATCCCCAGTAAAATATTGTGCACACTATTCAGTTTTAGAACTGGTATAAAAGTACAGATGTGAAGCGAAAAAAAAAACTAGAAGAAATTGAAATTGTTACTATTAATAGCTTTCTTTAAATGCGATAATGCTTTAAGAAATTGATAACAGAAGAAGAAAAAAAAAACTATATATAGGAAAAATATTTAAGATAATAATCAAACTTTAAANAAGAAAAAAAAAAAGAGAAAAATTTAATACAACTTAACACAAAGATTAAGAATAAATTTATTTTGCATTTTAACAAGAAATTTAATCAATTTATTCAAAAAATTTTACAATTTTCTTGCATTAATTTACATTCAATTTTTTTTTTTACTTTCTCACAATTTTCATTTTGAAATTCATCCTTATTATCATTTTCTCTAAAAATGATAATGATGATAATGATGATGATGATGATGATTATCTTCAAAATGTTCCTCTTTACATCAATACTCTCATCATTCTCTTCAAATTCATTATCAGTAATGTACTCTGACTCTTCATACTTTTTAACTTCAATTTAAATTTCTCAATTAATGATATTTATTTATCTACACTCCTTATATTCAATTATTTTTAAATAAATATATTTGTTGATTAATATCTAGTTATTTATTAAAAGCATACTAAGTAAACTTATATTAAAAAATTTTCACATTTTTTAATTAATATTTTTAACAAAATAATGATTTTTAAAACTAAAATAATAGTAATAATAATTTAAATATTAATTTAAAAACTTAAAAATTTCTTCAGAAAAATTATTAGATTTTATTATATTCTATGTGAGAATTTATCATCATTTTTTAATGCTTCTTTCTTTATTTATTATTTTTATTTTTATTAACTTCTTTAGTTTTAAATTTTAAAGCATGTTCATTATATTTATTCATTCTAGCATTTAATAAAACTTATTAACTTTTATTAAGTATGGTTTTTATCTTTTATGTTTATTACTAGACTAAACAAACACATGGATACATTTGAATGTACACAAGCTAATAATCTTAGTTAAATAAATAAAGAATTTAATTGGCATTATACAAAGAGCAAACTTAAAAACATGTTTAAAAGAAAATTTAGTTTGAAGCATTGTTTATGAGTACAATGACTTAAAATTATCGAAAATTATATTATTTTGATCTAAATTATTAAATTATTCACTTGAAATTATTAATAGAATGAGTGAATCCTGCTATAAAATGCCAGATGTTGTCGGATGTTGGAGAGGATTACCTACTCTTTTATTACTTCCAACTTGTAACAAGGTTCCAGCAACAGTTTTAACGTTGATTATGATGAGTTGTCAATAGGTGTAGTATGGAGCTTTCATTTATAACGAAAATTTTTGTTTTTTTTTTCTTCTTATTATTTTCTAAAGATTTTTCTTTTTAAAATCTTTGTAACGTGTCTCTAAACAACTAAAGATTGTGTTAAGTCATCAAAATTCTTTAATAAAGATACTACATCGCGATAGCAGGTGAATTTAATGAAACGTAAGCTCATTAATATTAATGCGTTAATGTTGCCATACTAAAGTTTATAACGATTACCATCAAAGAAATGAAGCCATAAAATTGTAGCTAAGTAATACAATGTCATTAAAAGTGACATTTCTTTTTTACTTTAATTATATATCATGGTAAATGTGTGTTTCCTGTAAAGTATTTTAAAATAACAATCATTTACAACAGTTAAAAAATTACATATTATATTACAGATGTATATATATATTAAATATTTTAAGAAGTACAGCCTTAGTATAACATTTATTAATGTTACATTAATTCAATTTCGAAGTAATCTCTTCACTTTAATATTCTTAATAAAGCAGTTAACTTTTTAAAATCTAGTAGAAAATATTCTCTAGATACTAATTATAAAACAGGGATATTTTATTATAAGGTGGTCCAAAAGTCAGTTAACCGCTGTTAAAGATAAATTGCTGTTTATTCGAAAGTTTTTATTAATTATAAACGTCTGATGCACAAATTAAATTATAACGTCTTAAAAAAAAACTAAATGTACTTAACTGATTTTTGGGCCACCATGTAGGGGAGATCGGGGCAAGATCGGCATGTTAAGCTTTACTTAAATTTTGTGTAATAAATACTGCTGTAAACTGAAAAAAAAAGCTTTGCATATTGTCTATTGGAATGTTACCTTACTATAGAACTGGTTAAAATCAGTTTGGAAATAAAAATAATTAAAATAATTACAACTTTACAAGAAGAGAGAAATTGACGAAGTTGCCCCGGGTATAGGGGCAAGATCGGCAACTTCTCTCTTTTTGTAAAGTTGTAATTATTTTAATTATTTTTATTAAAGTTGCCCCTGGTATAGGGGCAACAGTAATG